CAACATGTGCTGAGACTAAGAGGCATCTTCACTCAGTGCACCTAAGAGGCCAACAAAAATAACGTCAATGCAGAAACAATGAGATGTTTTGAAATGTCGTGGGTGAGATTATTTTGCCGTCATGTGCCAGGTGTCCTTCACAAATTTTTCAGTCTACAATGTCGACGAAGACTTTTTCCTGCAAGAACTGGGTCGACAAACCTTGCCCTTTGCATCGCAGGTGGGAGAGAAAAATGAAAAAATCCGCATAGTTTATAGCTGTTTCTTTTCGCCGTTGCCCCTCGAGGTTCAGCGTCTTCGAGACTTTGCCCACCGAGTCCCCGGGAGGTCCGTCGAAGCGAAGCGGCGAAGATGTGTCGTTTTGGACGAAAAGAGAAAAAGCGAAGTTGAACAGCGAATGAGTAAATAGTTTCTTGTTACTACTAGCGTGGCACTTGTTACTAGTAGTAACAAGAAGCTACCATTTTGAGGGTGGTTTGTGTGTTTGTTTCGTTTGTAGCGTCACTGTTACACAAAACTCGATGCGTCGATGAGGCTTGTCGGATTGTATCAACCGTTCATTTGGACGGCAGACACTCTGTTGAGGGCTTTGTCCTACAACGAGAAGCTGAAACTCGTTTGAAATGAGTCGACTCTTGTTTTGTGCTTGTTTTGTGAATGCAAACATGTTTTCTGTTTGTTTTTTTTGTAAACTGTGTTGTCTCGAAGGAAGGTGGTCTTGACTTTGTGTGACCCCGTGGATCGCTTTGAACGGCGTTTGCATGGGCAATTTCCCAATGAGAAGGACGTGCGCAAGGCCTTTAAAGTTCAACTGGAAGATGAACATTCGAGGCCGGTCTCTTTGGCGAAGAAGTGGCGTGCTTGGCACCACGTTTTCACGTCTCGAATCTTGTTCACCGAGAAGACGCAGCTGAGCAGAAGCGAGACCTGGCGAAAGCTGGCGGAGTTCCTGCAGATCCATCCGTATCCGAAGAGTGCGGTGTTTGCCCGCTACAACAGCCGTGGAGGTCCCGAATTTCGCTCCAGCCTCTGCAAGGAGCATGATTTGCTTCAAGATCTCAAGGAGACTCGGTTCTTTTTTCTAAAGAAACGAGGAGAGCACTAACAAAGCGCAAGGACGGGAAAAGGAGAAACAAGGTCGACGGCACCGACCTGAAGACAGACCACGACAGCTTTATTTTTCGTGCCCAAGGTGTTGAGAGGTGAAAGCATGTGAAAGCTACAAAATTCTCTCAATTTTTTCAGCTATTCCACAGCGATGGTGCAATGGATGTTCATCGACGATCAAAGACGTGATCCAGAGAGCAGTCGAAACTGGAGTTGATACGAAGTGAGCGGGAGTGAGCAGAAACAAGAACGGGGTTACGACGGAAACGACTGATGTTTTGTTGTTGTTGTTCGTCTCGTTGGCCCGTTGGGCGCAGGAGCGCTTCAGTTTCGAGTACGATTTTTTGCGCCAAGTCGTCAGCACTGAGTTTCGGACCCACTGTGACAGGCGGGGAAGGGCGTTTTCTTGTTCAGCTTGGCACAATGTCTAGCGAAGCTTGAGTCTGCTTGAGGTTGATTTTGAGCTGTGCATGTTGTTGCGTTGAGCTGCTTTTGCGTTTGTGTTTCGAGGTCCTCAACACGATGTCAAAAATCCCGGTGCGGCTGAAAGCGAACGACTCGCGATCGCCAAAGTGGGAGCACCAATCTGTTTCGCTGAAAGTTCGTGCTTCTTGTTACTACTAGCTTCTTGTTACTACTAGTAAGGCACCTGTTCCTACTAGCGTGGCACTTGTTACTACTAGCTTCTAGTTACTACTAGTAAGGCACCTGTTCCTACTAGCGTGGCACTTGTTACTACTAGCTTCTTGTTACTACTAGTAAGGCACCTGTTCCTACTAGCGTGGCACTTGTTACTACTAGCTTCTTGTTACTACTAGTAAGGCACCTGTTCCTACTAGCGTGGCACTTGTTACTACT